CACACACACACACTCACTCACAGGCTAACAGCCAGAATCTCTCTCTCACACACACACATACATGCTAAGAGCCAGAATCACACACGCACACACTCACTCACAGGCTAACAGCCAGAATCACACAGAAAGACACACACACACACACAGAGGCTAATAACCAGAATCACACACACACACAGAGGCTAACAGCTAGAATCTCTCTCTCTTTCTCTATTGCTCTCTCTCTCACGCACACACACACACTAACAGCCAGAATCACACACACACACAGGCTAAGGGCCAGAATCTCTCTCTCTCTCACACACACACAGAGCCAGCCACAAACGCACATGCACAAACATGCTTGCTAAGGGTCTCTCTCTGTCTCCGTCTCTCTCTCTCTCTCTCTCTCACACACACAACCCGAGGTAGGTGATGAGCGGAGCCGGAGGCACCCCCGCAGCCCAGCAGGGGGCAGCCCGGCACTCGCTGGCTGGCAGCCCCGGCAGGGCAGGTCTGGTGGGGATAAGATGTGTTTACCAACCGCAAACTCTAGGGGTAGGGTTGCCAGGTGTCCGGTTTTCGGCTGGAACGCCCATTCGAAAAGGGACCCTGGTGGCTCCGGTCAGCACTGCTGACCGGGCCGTTAAAAGTCTGGTCAGTGGTGCAGCGGGCTAAAGCAGCTCCCCGCCTGCTCTTGCTCCATGCGACTCCTGGAAGCAGCGGCATGTTCCCCCTCCGGCTCCTACATATAGGGGCAGCTAGGGGGGTCTGCACGCTGCCCCTGTCCCAAGCGCCGGCTCTGCAGCTCCCATTGGCTGGGAACCGCGCCTCTATGTAAGAGCCGGAGTGGGGACATGCTGCTGCTTCCGGGAGCTGCTTGAGCGAAGCGCTGCCCGGAGCCTGCACCCCGACCCCCTCCCATGCCCCAACCCCCTGCCCCAGCCCTGATCCCCCTCCCACCCTCCGAACCCAGCCCGGAGCCTCCTCCTGCACCCTAAACCCCTCATCCCCAGCCCAACCCCAGAGCCCGCACCCCCAGCCTGGAGCCCTCACCCCCTCCCGCACTCCAAGCCCCTACCCCATGAAAATAAGTGAGGGAGAGTGAGGGATGGAGGGGGGAATGGAGTGAGTGGGGGCGGGGCCGTGGAGAAGGGGCGGGACAGGGGGCGGGGCAAGGGTATTCAGTTTTATGGGAGTAGAAAGTTGGCAACTCGATCTAGTGGTGACAAGAACAGGAGTACTTGTGGCACTTTAGAGACTAACAAATTTATTAGAGCATAAGCTTTTGTGGGCTACAGCCCACTTCTTCGGACAATTCACCGCACCCTGGGGCTTCACATGCATTGTCACTCCCCTACCGCCCCGCCCCGCAGCTGGGGAGAGAACCCAGGCGTCCTGGCTCCCAGCCCCCCTGCTCTAACCCAACAGCCCCCCACTCCCCTCCCAGAGCTGGGGAGAGAACCCAGGAGTCCTGGCTCCCAGCCCCACCTGCTCTAACCCACCAGACCCCACTCCCCTTCCAGAGCTGAGGAGAGAACCCAGGAGTCCTGGCTCCCAGCCCCCCTGCTCTAACCACTAGACCCCACTCCCCTCCCAGAGCTGTTCTAATGGTCACTGGCCCTTTAATTTTTATTCATCCATAAAACGTTGCTTGGCCCTTTAAATCCCGCCCCTTCCACTGTTGCGCTCTGATTGGACAGCTTTAATGAGGAAGTAATCGCTGATTGGTTAGATTCCTGAAGTAGGCGAGACGGAGAAAGGATCAGTTTTTTCTTTCTGACTGGCAGGTTTGTCCATATATCGGTCTCTTGATTGGCCAATCGCTGAGAGAGGGCGGGATTTAGGGACGAAAACAGTTCCACCTGCCTCTGACCGAGCTTCCCATTTCCTGATTGGATAGGAACCGCACGCATCCTCCCTGTGATTGGTCAATCTCTGGTAAAGGGCGGGATTTAGAGGAAGATAACGCCGTTGCCATGCGCAAGGAGAGGCCTCACATCCTTCGCTCTCTGATTGGCTGCATTCTCACTGAACTAACCTCTAATTGGCCGAATCTTTGTAGGGGCGGGAATTGCGTGCGGAAACCGCCTCTCTCGCGCGGGGCCGCGCCCCCTCCCAGTCTGATTGGCTGATAGTCACGCGACCCACCGACGATTGGCCCATCCACCAGAAGGGGGCGGGATTTGGTCCCGCCAGACACCTGCGCGATTCTGAGGGCCCCGCCCCTGCCCTCCAGTGTGATTGGGCGGTTGGGCGGGAGCGGCGACATCCGGGTCCTCGGGGAAAGGCGCAGGGAGCGGCGGACCCGAGAGGGAACCAGCCCGGGGCTGGGAGGGTCCCGGGCGCGAGCCGGTGAGAGAGACCGTGAGGCCCCGCCCCCTGGAACTCTCCACTGCCCCGCCCCGCCCCTTGCGGAGACCCCGCCCCCTGGGACTCTCCCCGCCCCTTGCCGAGACCCCGCCCCCTGGGACTGTTGGCCCCTCCCCATATGGGAGAGAGGCCCCGCCCCATGGGGGCCCCGCCCCTGCACAAACCCCCCACCGCCCCCCCCATAAGGGAGAGAGGCACCACCCCCTCCTTGCTCGACCCCTGTCCCCGAGGCCCCGCCCCTTGTCCCGAAGCCCCGCCCCCACAGCTGGTTGAAGCTCTGCCTCCCCCAAGCCCCCCATTTCCAGCCCCCTCCTGCACCCCCCTGTGCTGCCCCCCACCCCCTGGACTCCTGGGTTCTCTCCCCTGGAGATACGGGGTGACTCGTCCCCAGCTCCCCTGCTCCTGCTGGGCCCCCCTGTTCCTGGACTCCTGGGTTCTCTCCCAGGGCCGAGGGGGTTCGGGTGCCTCTCCCTGATCCCCCCCCTCCCCGGCCTGCCTTCCCTCGGCAGGAGACGGGCGCCATGGCGGAGCCGCGGAAGGAGGAAGAGGAGGAGGCCGAGGAGCGGGGCAAGCGGGAGCCGGGCCACCGGGCCACCGTCGCGGCCAAGAACCTGGCCATCCTCAAGGCCCGCTCCCTGGACGTCACTTTCGAGGTGGGGGATGAGTACGAGGTCATCGAGACCATCGGCACCGGGGCCTACGGCGTGGTCAGCTCCGCCCGCCGCAGATCCACAGGTCAGCTCGGACGCCTGGGTCCCATCCCCACTCCTGGGAGGGGCGTGGGGTCTAGTGGGTTGGGGAGGGGCTGGGAGCCAGGACTCCTGGGTTCTCTCCTCAGCTCTGGGAGGGGAGTTAGGTCTGGGGGGGTCAGAGCAGGGAGCCAGGACTCCTGGGTTCCATAGGGGAGGGCTGCGCAGGGGATGGTGTGTCTGCTCTGACCCTCCCTGCGCCGTTTGCCTCCAGGCCAGCAGGTGGCGATCAAGAAGATCCCCAATGCCTTCGATGTGGTGATGAACGCCAAGCGCACCCTCCGTGAGCTCAAGATCCTCAAACACTTCAAGCACGACAACATCATCGCCATCAAAGACATCCTGAAACCCGCCGTGCCCTATGACGACTTCAAATCCGTGTGAGTGCCCGCCCGGATGCCTGGGTCCTATCCCCAGCTCTGGGAGTGGTTAGAACAGGGGGGGCTGGGAGACAGGACTCCTGGGTTCTCTCCCTGGCTCCGGAATGGGAGTGGGATCTAGTGGTTAGAACTAGGTGGGGTTGGTAGCCAGAAGTATGGGGAATAAGCAGGAAGAACTCAAATGCTAGTAAATAAATACAACTATGACACAGTTGGCATCACAGAGACCTGGTGGGATAATACACATGACTGGAATATTGGTATTGACAGGTACAGCTTGCTAAGGAAGGACCCGTAGGGAAAAAAGGGAGGATGAATACACTTGGACTGAGATTGAGATGGAAATAGGAGACGGATTTGTTGAACATCTCTGGGTAAGGATAAAAGGGGTAAAAAACAAGGGTGATGTCATGGTAGGGATCTACTACAGACCACCTAACTAGGAAGAAGAGGTGGATGAGGCTTTTTTTAAACAGCTAACAAAACCATCCAAAGCACAGGACATGGTGGTGATGGGGGACTTCAACTATCCAGACATCTGCTGGGAAAAGAACACCGCAGGGCAGAGATTATCTGACAAGTTCTTGGAAATTTTTTATTTCAGAAGGTGGAGAAAGCTACTAGGGGAGAGGCTGATCTAGATTTGATTTTGACACACAAGGAGGAACTGGTTGAGAATTTGAAAGTGGAAGGCAGCTTGGGGGAAAGTGATCATGAAATGAGAGAGTTTATGATTCTAAGGAAAGGTAGGAGGGAAAACAGCACAATAAAGACAATGGATTTCAAGGCAGACTTTACCAAACTCAGGGAGTTGGTAGGTAAGATCCCACGGGAAGCAAGTCTAAGGGGAAAAACAATTGAAGACATTGGCAGTTTTTCAAAGGGACACTATTAAGGGCACAAGAGCAAACTATCCCATTGCGTAGGAAAGATAGGAAGTCTGGCAAGAAACCACCCTGGCTTAACCAGGAGATCTTCAGTGATCTAAAAATCAAAAAAAGAGTCCTACAAAAAGTGGAAACTCAGTCAAATTACAAAGGATTAATATGAACAAATAACACAAGTATGTAGGGACAAAATTAGAAAGGCCAAGGCACAAAATGAGATCAAACTAGCTAGAGACATAAAGGGTAACAAGAAAACATTCTACAAATACATTAGAAGCAAGAGGAAGACCAAGGACAGGGTAGGCCCGTTACTCAGTGAGGGGGGAAAAATAATAACAGAAAATGTGGAAATGGCAGACGTGCTTAATGACCTCTTTGTTACGGTTTTCACCAAGAAGGTTGGTGGCGATTGGACGTCTAACGTAGTGACTGCCAGTGAAAATGAGGTACGATCAGAGGCTAAAATAGGAAAAGAAGAAGTTAAAAATTACTTCTACAAATTAGATGTCTTCAAATCACCAGGGCCTGATGAAATGCACTCTAGAATACTCAAGGAGCTGACTGAGCAGATAGCTGAGCCATTAGCGATTATCTTTGAAAAATCATGGAAGACGGGAGAGATTCCAGAAGACTGGAAAAGGGCAAATATAGTGCCCATCTATAAAAAGGGAAATAAGGACAACCCAGGGAATTACAGACCAGTCAGTTTAACTTCTGTACGCGGAAAGAAAATGGAGCAAATAATTAAGCAATCAATTTGCAAACATCTAGAAGATAATAAGGTGATAAATAACAGTCAGCCTGGATTTGTCAAGAACAAATCATGTCAAACCAACCTGATAACTTTCTGTGACAGGGTAACAAGCCTTGTGGGTAGGGGGGAAGCGGTAGATGTGATATATCTTGACTTTAGTAAAGCTTTTGATACTATCTTGTATGACCTTCTCAAAAACAAACTAGGGAAATACAACCTAGATGGAGCTACTATAAGGTGAGTGCAGAACTGGTTGGAAAACTGTTCCTAGAGAGTAGTTATCAGTGGTTCACAGTCATGCTGGAAGGGCATAACGAGTGGGGTCCCACAGGGATTGGTTTAGGGTCAGGTTCTGTTCAATATCTTGATCAATGATTTAGCTAATGGCATAGAGAGTACACTTATAAAGTTTGCGGACGATACCAAGCTGGGAGGGGTTTCAAGTGCTTTGGAGGGTAGGATTAAAATTCAAAATGCTCTGGACAAACTGGAGAAACGGTCTGAAGTAAATAGGACGAAATTCAATAAGGACAAATGCAAAGTACTCCATTTAGGAAGGAACACATACAGAATGGGAAATGACTGCCTAGGAAGGAGAACTGCAGAAAGGGATCTGGGGGTCACAGTGGACCATAAGCTGAATATGAGTCAACAGTGTAACACTGTTGCAAAAAAGCAAACATCCTTGTGGGATGTATTAGCAGCAATGTTGTAAGCAAGACAGGAGAAGTCATTCTTCCAGTCTACTCCGCACTGATTAGGCCTCAACTGGAGTATTGTGTCCAGTTCTGGGCGCCACATTTCAGGAAAGATGTGGACAAATTGGAGAAAGTCCAGAGAAGAGCAACAAAAATGATGAAAGGTCTAGAAAACATGAGCTATGAGGGAAGATTGAAAAAATTGGGTTTGTTTAGTCGGGAAAAGAGAAGACTGAGAGGGGCACATAACAGTTTTCAAGCACATAGAAGGTTGTTACAAGGAGGAGGGAGAAGAATTGTTCTTCTTAACCTCTGAGGATAGGACAAGAAGCAATGGGCTTAAACTGCAGCAAGGGAGGTTTAGGTTGGACATCAGGAAAAACTTCCTGTCAGGATGGTTAAGCACTGGAATCAGTTGCCCAGGGAGGTTGTGGAATCTCCATCATTGGGGATTTTAAGAGCAGGTTGGACAAACAGCTGTCAGGGATGGTCTAGATAATACTCAGTCCTGCCATGAGTGTAGGGGACTGGACTAGATGACCTCTCGAGGTCGCTTCCAGTCCTGTGATTCTGTGACACCTGGGTTCTGTCCCCAGCTCTGGGAAGAGAGTGGGGTCTAGTGGGTAGAGCTAGGTAGGGTTGGTAGCCAGGACACCTGGGTCCTACCCCCCTGGTCTGGGAGGGGAGTGGGGTCTAGTGGCTAGAGCAGGGGGGGCTGGGAGCCAGGACTCCTGGGTTCTCTCCCTGGCTCTGGGAGGGGAGTGGGGTCTAGTGAGTTAGAGCAAGGAGGCCCGGGAGCCCGGACCGCTGGGTTCTATAGGGAGGGGAGTTTAGTGAGTTAGCAGGGGCAGGGGCTGGGAGTCAGGACTCCTGGGTCCTCTCCCCGCTGACCTCCCCATCCTCCGGCAGATACGTGGTGCTAGACCTGATGGAGAGCGACCTTCACCAGATCATCCACTCCTCCCAGCCCCTCACACTGGAACACGTCCGATACTTCCTCTACCAGCTGCTCCGGGGCCTCAAATACATCCACTCGGCCAACGTCATCCACCGGGACCTGAAGCCCAGCAACCTGCTCATCAACGAGAACTGCGAGCTGAAGATCGGCGACTTCGGCATGGCCCGGGGGCTGTGCACCAAGCCGGACGAGTACAAGTACTTCATGACGGAATACGTGGCCACGCGGTGGTACCGGGCCCCGGAACTGATGCTGTCCCTCCACGAATACACGCAGGCTATCGACATGTGGTCCGTCGGCTGCATCTTCGCCGAGATGCTGGGCCGCAAGCAGCTCTTCCCCGGGAAGAATTACATCCACCAGCTGCAGCTGATCATGACGGTGCTGGGCACCCCGTCCGCCAAGGTGATCCACGCCATCGGGGCCGACCGGGTGCGCGCCTACATCCAGAGCCTGCCCTCCCGCCAGCCGGTGCCCTGGGAGAGCCTCTACCAGCAGGCCGACCGCTCGGCCTTGGCGTTGCTGGCCAAGATGCTGCGCTTCGACCCCCGGGAGCGGATCGCCGTGGCCGAGGCCCTCAAGCACCCCTTCGTGGCCAAGTACCACGACCCGGACGACGAGCCCGACTGCGTGCCCGCCTTCGATTTCGACTTCGACAAGCAGGTCCTCACCAAGGAGCGCATCAAGGAGGCCATCGTGGCCGAGATCTGCGACTTCCACGCCCGCCGCGAAGGGATCCGCCGGCAGATCAGTTTCAAGCCCGCCCTCCGTCCGGCCGCCGCCGCTGCCCCACCCGCCGCCGCCACCCCCTTGCGCTGCCAGGACGTGGACATGCCCAGTGCGGGCTCCACCGGGGGAGACTACGCCATGGAGTCGCCAGCCCCCGGGGAAGTCCCGTACCCTCCGGAGACCATTGACCTGACCTCGCCCGGGGCTCCCCCCCACCCCGAGGGGCCGGCTGAGGTGAAGGCGGAGCCGGAGGCCACGCCGCCCAAGAGGGAGGGGGCCATCTCGGACGACACCAAGGCGGCGCTCAAGGCCGCGCTGCTGAAGTCGGCTCTGCGCAATAAGAACAAAGGTGAAAGGCTGGGATGCCTGGGTTCTCTCCTCCTCTCTGGGAGGGGAGTGGGGTCTAGTGCTTAGAGAGGGGGGGCTGGGAGCCAGGACTCCTGGGTTCTCTCCTCCTCTCTGGGAGGGGAGGGCGGTCTAGTGGTTAGAGTGGGGGGCTGGGAGCCAGGACTCCTGGGTTCTATTTCTGATTTTCATAGAATCGGAGACGTGGGGGACTGGAAGGGTCCTTAGTAGGTCGTCTAGTCCTGTCCCCTGCACTCATGGCAGGACTAAGTATTATCTAGACCATCCCTGACAGGGGTTTGTCCAACCTGCTCTTAAAAATCCCCAATGATGGAGATTCCACAACCTCCCTGGGCAATTTATTCCAGTGCCTAACCTCCCTGACAGTTAGGAAGTTTTTCCTGATGTCCAACCTAAACCGCCCTTGCTGCAGTTTAAGCCCATTGCTTCTTGTCTTATCCTCAGAGGTTAACGAGAACAATTTTTCATCCTCCTCCTTGTAACAACCTTGAAAACTGTTCTCATGGCCCCTCTCAGTCTTCTCTTCTGCAGACTCAACAAACCCAATTCTTTCAATCTTCCCTCACCGGTCATGTTTTCCAGATCTTGAACCATTTTTGTTGCTCTTCTCTGGACTTTCTCCAGTTTGTCCACATCCTTCCTGAAATGTGGCACCCAGAACTGGACACAATACTCCAGTTGAGGCCTAATCAGCGCGGGTCAGAGCGGAAGAATTACTTCTCGTGTCTTGCTTACAACACTCCTGCTAATACAGCCCAGAATGATGGTCGCTTGTTTTGCAACAGTGTTACACTGTTGACTCATATGTAGCTTATGGTCCATTATGACCCCCAGATCCCTTTCTGCAGTACCCCTTCCTAGGCAGTCATTTCCCATTGTGTGTGTGCAACTGATTGTTCCTTCCTAAGTGGAGTACTTTGCATTTGTCCTGATTGAATGTCATCCTATTTACTTCAGACCATTTCTCCAGTTTGTCCAGAGCATTTTGAATTTTAATCCTATCCTCCAAAGCACTTGCAATCCCTCCCAGCTTGGTATCGTCCTCAAACTTTATCAGTTTCCTCTCTGTGCCCTGATCTAAATCACTGATGACGCTAATGAACAGAACTGGACCCAGAACTGATCCCTGCGGGACCCCACTCGATTTGCCCTTCCAACAGGACTGTGAACCGCTGAGAACGACTCTCTGGGAACGATTTTCCAACCAGTTTTGCACCCACCCTGTAGTAGCTCCATCTAGGCTGTATTTCTGTAGTTTGTTTCTGAGGAGGTCGTGTGAGACAGTGTTTAGTGTAATCTTGCTTGTTTCTTCCTGTCTCTGCCTTGCCTTGGATAGCAGGGGCTGCGGGTCGGGAGTGAGGGGCACCGGCAGAGCTGCGGGGGGGGCAGGGCTGGGCTAGCAGGGGCTGCAGGTTGGAAGTGAGGGGCACTGGCAGAGCTGGGGAGGGGCAAGGCTGGGCTGGCAGGGGCTGCGGGTTGGGAGTGAGGGGCAGGGGCTGGGCGGGGGGGGGGGAGGCAGGGCTGGGCTGGCAGGGGCTGCGGGTCGGGAGTGAGCTGACTCCTCTCTGCTTTGTTCCCAGACACCCAGTGCTCCGTGCCGGAGCCCCCGGACGTGCGGAAGCCGGTGACGGCCCAGGAGCGCCAGCGGGAGCGGGAGGAGAAGCGGAAGCGGCGCCAGGAGCGGGCCAAGGAGCGGGAGAAGAAGCAGAAGGAGAAGGAGCGGAAGGAGCTGCGGCGCGGGGACGTGCTGGGCGGGCTAGTGCTGAGCGAAAACGACCGCAGCCTCCTGGAGCGATGGACCAAGATGATTGACCGGAACCACCAGAAACCGGCTCACAACGGGCCCACGGACCACGTTCTGGCTGCGCCTGCTGGCCACGTCCCAGCCACGCCTGCCGGCCACGTTCCACCGGGAGCCACCGGCCACCTCCCAGCTGCACCTGCCGGCCACCTTCCAACCACGCCTGCTGGCCATGT